GTTTTTATATGATATATTGCTATCGCAAACGTACCGTACCGTATCCCTATAGCCATTCAGCGACGGGCTTATATAATTCAGCCAATTTAAGCCAATCAGCGATCAGTTTACATCAATTGTTTACATCGTGCACGCATCTAACCTGCGAACGGGCATACTTTAGCCTCGTGTGACTGTGTTATTCTTTCAAAAATATCTTGATATTTTTATCAATTTATCTTGAATTGGCTGTCTTGTTTTCTCTACTTGTGATATTATTCCGAAGTTATTTATCAACATGGAAACTTATCCTCATCTGGTAAGTAGTCAAATACCATATATTATAGATCTAGTGTTGGATGTTAAAGATGTTATCAGTTTACAATACTTATACATTTTGGTTTTACACATTTAACAGAGTTTATAATTAAACAAAATTTTTGCAAACATTTTCAAATGCTAATAAAAGAATCCCCACCCTCCCTCCTTTAATATTACATTGTTATTTTGCTTTCTAACATAAATGTTTTTGTCTAGAGATTAATGCAAGAATGATGAATAAATGTACTGGATATTGGCTAGATAATTTTGTCAGAGCAACCCACTTGCAAGACAATCTTACCTAAATTCATAAGTATCAATGGTATGGATACTGTAATAGCTTAACAGCTACAATAATCATATATTATATGGATGGTCAGATCAATGGCACACAATATGTACAAAACTGAACTTGTGATACCTTCTACTCAAACCGATATTCTCCCACAACACAAATTGTTTTTGTGTGGATATGTTGTGTTAAACCGAACAGTGTGGTAGGGCCTATATCATTAACTGTGCACAGGATTGGAATTTAATTATATACTTCATTCATGACCTTTTACATTCAGTGGTCTTCGATATATGATGGACTCTTTGTTACAGTATTAATGCATGTTCCTCGAATAGTTTGTGTATGTTACTCAACAGTTAACGTTGGCAAGTGTAAACAATAAGTGACAGAACTTTTGCTTCATGTGACTACAATAAAGTTCTCAAAATGGGTATGGATTGACAAGTTGTCGTTTACTAAATAGACACTGCGAATATTGTTTGCATGAAATTTTTATTTTTTGACTGCATAATTATCCGAGTTACAATCATAATCACATAAAATTAGTTAAATTTTCTCAGAAGAGGGAGAAGTCGAGGTTCCCCTGCTGCCCTCTGTGCTGTCTACAGCCTAGTTAGATTTGTACTATGTTTGACTTTAAAACCTTATTTGCTATTATATTTATTATAATAAGTGTTGAAAATGTTAATCAAGTTTTTTCGCAGATACATGTACGCGTAGCGTACCTATTTTTGGAATAATTTCTCAAAATTTTGCAACATGCACACAGGGAGTTTTTGCCAGTGGATTTTGCTTACACCAATAGTCATTGTTGTCAGCTCATGTTTAGCTCTCAATGAGCAGTCTTTATAAAGTTCGACTTCTTTACATTTTTCTATAACGTCTTCGTTTATACTTTATTAATTCATGAATAGAAAGATCTGATGTGTTCTTTTTTAACATCAAGGGATCTTGGACAGAAAGCATCAAAAATCGATTTAAACATGTAAGGAAGTATGAGAGCAAGAAAAGATCCATGGTACAATCTGCTGATGATAATAAACCAAGTACATGTGCGCCAAAACCTGTTCTGAAGCGCCAGAGAAAAGCAGATATCTGGATGAAATACCAAATTCCGAAAACACCACCGAAGCCATTCAAAAAGAGCACATATCTGAGCTACATAAAGAAACACAAAAGTCTGCCAACAGTCAAGACAAAAACAAAGTCAAAACTTTAATGGCATCAACTTTTCAACTGAGAAGAAAAGAGATACTTACTACATTGACCCCTGTCAGCAAAATTATAGAAACATACCCACCTCTTGCCACAATAAGCGGGGTAAGTTATTCAATTTGGCCTCAATGTTGCATTATGGTGCAAACAGTTTTCAGAGCCGAAACTAGAGCGTTAATTGGGAGGGGGTTGTATATTCATATAGCTGTGTTCTTCCTGACGAATTTGTTTTGAAATCGGTTGTTTTTAAGTTCATTTCAAAAGAAATTAGTCGGGCAGAACACAAATATATGAATATACCAACGCCCCACCCCCCCCAATTAGCGCTCTAGTTACGCCCTCTGAAAGTTTTGTATTTTTATTGTAACATATCCACATTCTTTGTCGAGTGATCAAGCAAATTTTTAGGTTAAGATTGCATAATTGATTATATTGGTAAAAATATGAATGCGCTCTGGCGAGTATGTGGAAAAATTAATGGTGCACTACTACGTATATTTTTTTTGGGAATATGTTAGCATAATGTTAGATATAACAGATTGTGTGCTGCAGAAAATCACTAACATATTGAAAAATTAATTTCACTTTTGCTATGCACATGTAGATACGTCATGAATTTAGCAGAATTTTTGAGGACAATGCTGCAACTAAAGAAATGAAGGATAAATTGTTCTCTCTCCAAAGTGCGATTGTGAAATACTGCGAAAACGTTCAACGGAAGAACCCATTCATTAAAAATGCATTACATGATCTTCAACGGGCAATTTCCCAGGAGCCAGAAAAGACTCAAGGTATGTTTATATACGCTATATTGATTAGCAAATTGCTCAAGTAAATTGTAACCGAGTCGAGAAATTACATTTATAAATTACAGAATAATCGGAATGGAATAAACTTCCCTGCAGGTGATTTTGATTCATCGTGCATGGCATAGGTTGCAAAGCAACAATGTTCTTAATATACCATTGTATACGGTATACATACACTGTAAATTAAAAAGGGCCAAATCGACCCCAAATTCCGTTTCAGCCCTTTTGGGGCCAAAGCTGTTTTGGCCCTATGTGAAAGCCATTTTGGCATTGGAGAGCTGGATCTGCACCGACGGAGCCATTTTAGGTATGGAGGAAAGCCAAATTGGCCCTACCCTTTGCCGTAACGGACCCATCATTTTCCAATTTAGCCCCATCAATTGCCAATGTGGCCCCACAGACCAAAACGACTCTCACGTCCGGGTTTGTTTTGGCCCCACATAAAGGGGCCGCTTTTGATCAACACTTTGGCCCCTATGAGCTTCGTTTCGGCTCTCCATCGCGGAACGACTCTCGCATAGGTCAAATCGACCCTGGAATGAAATCGACCCTTTTGTCGAAACGACCCTTCTGTCAAATCGACTCTTAATTGTGTCAAATCGACCCTTCTGTCAAATCGACTCTTAAATGTGTCAAATCGACCCTTCTGTCAAATCGACTCTTAATTGTGTCAAATTGACGCTTTTGTCAAATCGACTCTTAAATGTGTCAAATCAACCCTTCTGTCAAATCGACTCGTAAATGTGTCAATTCGACTCTTCTGTCAAATCGACTCTTAATTGTGTCAAATCGACTATTAATATTGTGTCAAATCGATCCTTCCGTCAAATCGACTGTCTTAATTCTGTCAAATCGACCCTTCTGTCAAATCGACTCTTAATTGTGTCGATCGTCCGTCGTATATCGTATCAAATTAACTTCCGCATAAAACTTAAAGAATGCACATGCTCGCAGTCGCAAAGAAAAAGAAGGGGACGTTTTTTGGATTATACAAGGTGAGATTTGATGTTTCATTTTGTAGGGTATTATTGAAATTTGTTTTCCAGATTTTTAGTAATTTTATCGTAAATATAAATACGGTATTTGTAAAAATTAATCACGAGAATTGAAGGCCTATAGGTGTAATATTAATGATCGCGGGAACTGGGAACGAGAATGCACGCGCCCGTAAACAATCGGGTTTGCGATCATTTTCGAGCATGCGTACTAACTTTTGGCGCCATTATCGAACGTTGGCCGTTGGGATTTGCTTCGACGAGGGATACGGATAAAATACAAGCGTAAAACCTCGTTTGTTGCAGTATATTCTTCACAAATAAACAATTTATTAGGAAAATACGTTCAAGAAACGTCTCGTGCTGTACTAGCCTAATTCTGGCAAATGTTATTTACTTTCTTCACCTTCGTGTCGAAGACTGTTGTTTGCTGATGGCCAAATCACGACAGCGGACATCAATTATTCAAAATATGTTCTTATAGCTTCACGTTTACGATACGAATGTAAGATTATTTATTTTTTGTATATGTAGGTTGTAGTTGAAAGTGACAGCGACAATGAAAAAAGTGCAAACAACATTGAAATATCCAGTTCACTACTAGCTCAAATCCTGCGACATATCACTTGCTAGTAGCCCAGTCTAGTTTAACCTTTCCCAATCAAGAATCATCTCCTGAATCCAAGGCCCTACTCTGGGGCGGTAAATCGCCTTAAATCGCCTTAAATCGCCCAAAATCGCATTAAATCGCGGGTTAAAATGGTCAAATTTCTCTTAAATCGCCTAAAATCGCTTTAAATCGCCTAAAATCGCTTAAAATCATGGGCGTACTGGGTGGGGGTGGGGAGGACGGGGTGACCGCCCCCCCCCAGTTTCTGGCTGGGCGGTCGCCCCCTGGCTTTGTTGGGCAAACAAAGCCAGCCGGGCAATATTCGCTTCACAGTCGGGCAATATTGGTTTATTATAGAAATAAATGGGACAAATTCTGTCAATTTTGTGAGAAATTCTGTCAATTATGTGGGAAATATGCTATCTAATAGGAATTTTTTGTAATCACTTCTCTCCCCCCCCCCCCAATCACTTCTTTCCAACCCCCTAATATTTTCCTTCCCGTACGCCCATGCTTAAAATCGCATTAACTCGCCAACATGCATTCTGTTTGATACATTCAGTCAATAATGTACTCAAGTTTATCAATTGCTGCTATTTTGCTGGCAAATCATGTATAATCCAGGTGTTTTGCAATCAAAAGTAATGCAACATGGATAAATCAAATAAGTGGATTAGGCTGACAATATTTAGTCACTCAATAGGCTCCGGTCATTAATAAAAACAGAGCCTTTTTCTGCTTTATGCAGACTTTACAATAATTAGGCAATTCTGGGATATGAAAGACCCATAGATTCCATTACACTACCAGCAACAAAATTGAGTTACTAGTTAATTTCATTATTGGTGTAAAATGTGGAGGCTGGGCTACAATTTATATGGACTATGGGGGCTGGACTACAAATTAATCTATAATATACATGGCTTCTCAAAGCCTAATTGCTGCTAGAACAACAGTAGGAGACTATGATAATGAGAGTCAATGAGTACGAGTATAGAATAAGGTCATCCTGCAATTTGTGCACTGTTGCATGTAGATCGAGCACTGCATTGTATACAATGGTTGTACTTCGACATGTGCATGGTTATACTCTAGCTCCTAGTTATAATTATATTGGCTATATCATACGAAAAACATACGTGGGGTTTAATATGAGCGAGATATTTGCAAGTTTTGCAACTCTCATCTATTAAATTTTCCAGACCTGTATAGAAAATAAACGGTAAAACAATGATTACATCGTACATACCATACAGTCTTTGTTATTGCTTGTTTGCAGAACACTTGACAAATTATCAGGTAAAAGACTTAAAACTACGATGTAGTGCGCGGTGTGCCATTTGTTTAATATCATTTTGTTTAGTATTTTTTAAAAATAATTTAGAATTCCGACCATTTATATGCGACGTACTTCATGTAAATTAAACTTTACGGCATTACGCCGACAGTTTCCGAATGCGTGATAATACTGTAAGGTTTCAAACTGTTTCTGGATATAGATATCAAACATAATTTTATAAAACATTGTTTGTTGAAACAGTTTAAATGAAATGCAAGCTAAATAAAGAAGTGTTGACAAGATACAAAACAAGACAATTTCACTTACAAGGGTGACAAGGTAATTTATAGGAATATAGCTTATTGTAACTGTATAAATTTATTGTGCGTTTCTACTCTCTGTGGGCTGTGGTTTTTTTGGAAATCAAATATCTATTATATTTTGCAATTAATAATATTAAAGTTTAGCCTAAGACATGTGTAGTTTAGTTATAGGTTGGTATTTTGCAATTATGTACCGTACATGCCCCTTAAGTAGAGTATATTTATTAACTGTTTATTTGTGGTATATATTAAAATGTAGCCATGAATGCTGAATGCATGACCACATGACCCCACGAGATGAACTCCAATGGCTTCTAAATAAGACAATGGATGAAAAGTTCACGAATATTGAGCTTTATATATGATTCGGGTTAAATACAATAATTATTAACCTAGCTTTATATAAAATGTACATGCATGTTCTAATAATTGTATTTTGCTTCATACATGAAATGCATATGTGTGTGAAAACATTACATTATTCAGCTCACTCCCCTTTGGGGCTTTTCAGTCACCGCTTACATCAAGTATTAGGGTTACTTATGTTAGTCTAGACTATTTATCTTTATAACAATGAGAATATGATCTCACTTTTCTAACTGTGTTTATTCTAACCAACCCTGCCATATTTTGCCTTGTGGGAGGAAACCGGAGCAAAATATAAAATTTAATTACCTTGAAAACACAGGTCTAAATTGCAATCCCTAAAATTTAGAATTTTCTCTTAAATCGCCTAAAATCGCACTAAATCGCAGTGCTTGAAAGTCCCAGTTTTTCCTTAAATCGCATAAAATCGCCCAAAATTGCATTATATTGCAGCGATTTAAGGCGATTTACCGCCCCAGAGTAGGCCTGTTGAGGATGGACGCGAGTTATAACTCTTCAGCGACTGTTCATTTCGGTGACCTGAAACGGCCATAATGTGGCGGTTTTCAAGACCTGCATCGGACCAAAGAGTAATCGCGGTGGCTCTCACACAATGGTTTGTGTAGATGCTCGACAGTTCGGCTTCCTCGCTAATTTCTCTCATCATAACACCCAGCTTATTTACACCGAGTGGCCGATTTTCGTACCAAACACTGTCGCTTGGGGACCACTTTCGCTTCGGAAACTGGAAGAATGCTGAACAGTGTGGATTTAACTTGGATATATAAAGCTCCAAGGCATTGTAGCCGTCGCTGGGGTCGTCTGTAGCACGGTACATCCTGCCGTCTTTTTCAAAACTTTCCGTGTCGTCAAATCCACCGGGATGATTTTTTGACAACTAGTCGTGGGTCATAGTCGCATACTGACGGGAATTTTCGTCAACCGCAAAGGTAAAGCTGGACGGTGTTAGGTTTCGTTGGCCTTCTCTACCTCGTCGACACCAATATAAGGTTGTGTGGAACCAAACATTTCTCAAGAGACCGAGGGGAGTCGAGGCGGAGATTACTGGATGAACTCTCAGCTTTTGAAGGTCTGGCGTCGTTATGGCAGGTTTGTGCTTCGTATTTTGTTTCCCGAGTTGCTTTAAATTTTTAATTTTCGCATCGAGTATCATGTTGGACTTCATGAAGGCAGGATTTTTAGAAAACTTGATTCCTCTGTTGTGAGGGGGGTAGTTTAAATGCCGCTCAATGCCGCTTCTCAAGCCGAGTAGGGTTGACTTTCCGTAGTTTTCGCCGGTCTTGTTTCTCACTTCTGCATAGAAAACTCTCAGGTTTTGATCAAGCTCTTCCTCGCTTTGTTCATGAAGCTCTTTATTTATGTTTCTTTGCAGGGCCCACTCTGAAAAACAACCATAATATATAAAAACCTGATTACTTGGAGAGGTGTAAACTTAAATTTAAAGTTCAAGCGAACTAACCTTTGTAAACAGAGACAGCGAAAGCAGTGCTGTATTTCGTCCTTTTGGAGTGTGCTGCTTCTAATAATTCGTCTAAATCGCTTGCTTCTAAATTTGCAAACCTTCTGGGGTTTTCTGCATCGCCTCCAGTGCCAAAAGGTTCAAAATTGGCCATTTTAAAAACTTTTTACTTAAATTTTGGGAATACGCTTTTCAATTTAAAGAGCGGCGGGAAATTTCCCGTGTTGACATTGAGTTATGTCAACACGGCTCTTAGCCAATCAGCGTCCAGAATTTACAATTGCTATATTATAATACACAATTTGGCCCAAGTAAGTAAGAAATTGATTAATATAAGCCTTCTGAAGCTGTTGTCATTAACAAATTAACCAGCATTTCACACAAATTTCGTGACAACAGTTGCCAGGTTAGCCTGGCTCCTGCGAGGCAAATGACAAACTAGCCCTGAAAAGAAAATCCAGCCATATTTGCTGGGCTAGCATGGCCCATTTTGACAGCCCTTAACAGGGAGAGCTTATTTTTGGAAGGGAGATCTGATTTTTGGAAGGGAGGCCTATTTGTGAGGTTACTGGGGGTTAATATTGGATTGCATTATATAATATGTGTAAAATATTCATTTGTGCACAGGTATTCTGGTAATGCACAAATTTATGGACTAAAATGTTTCAATTATAGTAGATCGGGATCTATTGGGGACCTGTTTATATGATCTAGACTATCCAGAACACATGCTTCAAGCCTAATTCATGTTGCCTGTTTGGTATACAGTGCTTATTGATCCTTATTGTATATGGTGAATTTCTTGGCTTACATATAGCCAGGATTCTGGCAATGGAAACCTCACGCTTAGCTAGGCCGATAGTAGCAGGATAGGATAGAACATACTGGCAAATGTCGTCTCCCACCTAGCCAGGTAATATGAACAGGGCGCAATTGTGACAAGTGAGCCAGACGAAGTAAAAAAAAAAACAATGAAGTTCATATACAGGTATATATCCATAAATTTTGATACCTGAACAGCAACATTGAACAAAATCATTCTGTCCCAATGTCATCCATCTTCCTTAAGTTTAGGACTCTGAGACCAATGAATATATTGTCAATCAAGGATTAAAACCAATGAAGACAAGTGTTATTGTCAAACAAACGAAAATATTCATGTCCACAGGGTGCAACACGCAATGTTGACACATTATTTTGAAGTCGACTAAGCTCGACTAAATGTCGAAATCGACGAAAAACGAGCCAAAAAACAGTTATTGAGCTAATCAATCAAATAAATACTTGGCATAAGTTTGAAGGTTCATAGTCCAAATATTTGATGAGCTTCTTTATCCCATTTATACCAACAAAATTTTAAAAATTCCCTGTATTTAGATATTCGCCATATTGATCGCCGTGCTGTTTGGCAAGAAATCGACATGTCAACTTGTCCCGGCCCGGAAATGTCCTGTTTACTTGTTACACAGGATATTAATAAGTTAATGTGAAAATATGAAGATAAAAGTATCTTTTAAAAATAAAACGTCTCAAACCTCGATTTGAAAGGCTCTTAAAAACGCTAATCCGTTCGGAACCTACAAATTCGAGGGATGGTATTTAAGCTTGCGCAAGGCAAAGTTTGAAGACCCATATCTTCGCAATCACGCAATTAATCAAAAATCGCCACGAGGAAGTTGAGGAGAATTCTTTTAAGAACAACATATATGAATTTAAAGGCAAAAAAAAACCC